GACAAGTTTCAGTTAAAGGCAAGACCATCTTGACCTTCTTGTTATTTACCAAGAATATCTGAAGAGACTTGCTGCCATGTGGTTCCTGACCTGAATTTAAAGTCCGCAGATGCAAAATATATGAGGGAATAAAATAGATGTCACATTCTCTTTAGATTTGATTTAGATTTAGAGCTATTCTATAATTTTAAATATATATTGTTACAAAATAACTTAATATCTTTGTCTATGTAAATAAGTATTTAACTGGAGTGAATCTTTAATCCTGTACCATTGATGGAGTTTAAGTGCCAGCGTCTTGGAAGAAGAGGAAATCCCACTTTCTTGAGCTATTTTTTTTCCAAATTAGAGAAATGAATAAAAGCAATATCACTCACCTCTTTCACAGATTCAGGTGATAGGATACTATTAGGAGTCATTGTCCCTAAATATTCTGGACATCTTCCTGAGTCTAACCATTCAGGCCTGATACAAGGAGAAATTTGTCTCTGGGGAGATTACACTTTCAAGGAATATTATTGCATATAATCTTTAGAAATTTTTCAATGTCTATTTGCTGAAGATATAATTATATGATAAGAAGTTATATAAATATAAAATATAATAACTTTGACCCAGCCAGGATTTTTCAAAAATTTCCAGGAATATAATGAAAACAATTTTTATATCTCTTATTCCTTTAAATACTCAGTTTTTCATATGATTGGATGGTAAAGAATAATATATCAAAAGCAAACTCATCATTGGGTAACCGAGTACTGAGTACTACTTGGCTCATGGTTTATTACGATCAATTAATACCTAGAAACTTTCCTAATTGTCATCTCCTGTTTTTGTAACAATCGCACAAATCATGTTAGCCTTAAAATATTGTTTCAATTGTTCCATGGAAAATTAAATCTTTGTTTTGAAAAGACTAACCAACTGAAGTTGTTTTGTTCAACGTTTTGCAGTAAAACGTTTTGCAAATCATGGATTCAAATCCTTCGAGATGCTATACAAAGCCACTCGTTGCGATGACACAGATTTGTTGAAGAAGTTTTCCGAAGCATTTGAGACTACCCTGGGGAAAATGGTACATCACTAGTATTTCTTTATTTTTTTTGTCATTTTTTAAAGGATGCCATTAAAGTTTTCATAACTTCTTTGGGCCATTTGCAACTGAAATGCCTTGTCCTGATTATTCCCCTGTTCTTTGTGATTCAAACCTGTACCTAATTAGAATTATTCATAGATCTTGGACTTCTGGAATGAATTGTAAGTAAATCTGAATTAAAACATTTTTGGATTTTTTAAAACATGTTGAGTCAGAAAGTCAGAGAAGCTTAGGGTTTGTATGGTTTGTGAATGCCTGCTCTATTATTTAGTCTGGCAAAACTGCCAAACATTGTAGACTGTATTTCTTTCATGATAGGGAGGTAATTGAACATTTAAAGGATTTTCTTTTTCATGCATTTTTGTTAAGAATTCTTCCAGTGATTATGAGAAAGCAGAGCAATATATTTAACTGTACTGAGCATCTTGGAGGTAGGAAGCATGCCGTATAAATATTTGTATGCCTAACAGAGTGGGTAGCACTT